TCGGCGCCGGTTAAGCCCGAATCTGCAGAATACAAAGAGACGTGCAGCCAAATCTTGATGGGAAAAACCCACTTTACTTATGATCTGATCAAATATATCTTTCATGCTTGATTATTGGGCTCGAATAGACTAAAAGATGCCAATCTTTAGCCTATATAAAGCCCCCAATTCATCAAACAAGATCATCATTCCATCTTTGAAGATTAAATTTCAGTTTTTATATTGCCTTTTTGCATTCTCTTGAAGTGTTGGAGAAGAAGCTATTTCTCTCATCTACAATTGGTTCTAGGTACTATTTCTTGTATGTTATTGTATTTCCTTTATCTTAGTTACACTTTTGTAATTAGTATGAGCTCAAGGAGCTAAGTTCTTAGCTAAGGCTAGGGATGAACTTCTATGCCCACTAGGTGTTTGATAAAAGTTCTAAACCAATAAATTGTGATTTATCCTTTACATTTTGATTTTTTATGACTATGGTGTACAACATAGAAGTATGTTAAACTTAATTTATGCTTGCAATTAACGTTGAAGTCTAAACTATGAACAATAAAGGATAAACATATATATTGCCGAGAATAGAAATATATTCGGTATTATATGATACAGGTGTGATGTCTTGATATTCGACGGGGTTTTCAGTAGATGAATGTAAGCCGTAACGGGACTTACACGTAACGAAAACCACGCTCTCGCTGCCTTAGCCGGAGTTGAGAATATATTAGCGACATCGTATTCATAATTATTGGTAAAGAACTAATATTCAACCCTATTAAAGCATTTAAGTGATTCCCGAAGCCTTGGCCGTTGTTATCATTCATTTTAAACCCGAATTAATTAAAGTTGTTTCCTTGAATTAAAAGTGAAAAGCCAAAAATACAAAACACAAATCAAAATCCCTGCACTTTACCCATTTATTTTTCATCTACTCTCGGACTAAATTAAACAACATTTCCCTGTGGATTCGACCCGGTATTTTACCGGAATTTATTACTATATCGGCACTTGTACACTTGCAAGTTCAAACCGATCATTTAGCACATACTACTATATTGGGGATGAGAATAAAACTTTTATGAGGGCAAATTATTTCTATTAGGAATAAAATTGTGTAAAGTATTATAGTCATTGTCTATTTCAAATAAAATTGGGGGCACGTGCCCCCACTAAAGCATGGAGTCGTCCCTAAAAAGCATCAACGTGCTCTATTTTTTAGGATGCTTTTAATTGGATGGAAATTTTTGGATATCAAGAATGAATTTTATTTTTCAAACTTGATATCTAGATTTGATTTAAAAAAAGGCGGTCTGCTCCTACTTTCATCTTGGGTTTTGTATCCGGCCAGCGGCCTTCGCTGTCTGTTGCTCGGGTGGTTAGGAAGAATGGGGAATAGCAATTGGAGGTCACCGGCTTCTGTTGGTTTCAATTAATAGTCTCATCTGTGTTTGGAGGGCTCGGATCCAAAGGTGAGATGGGCAGGAAGGTTAATCGGCTCGTCGAATGCGGCTGGGCAGGAGACCGGAAGGTCGGACGACGAGGCGGGAGGTTTCTGATCCAGACCGCTCATGCTTTGGTCCCCATTGTTGAAAGTATGGATCGGCTATATGCTAAGGCGGAGGTATGTTGTTTATTTGATTGGTTGTTGTTGTTTTGCTTCCTGGGTGTAGCAAGAGAAGGTTCACACGTAGGGGTGGAAACAGGCCAGGCTTTTGCCTAAACAGACCGGGCCTGTTTAAGAATATATAGGCCTGAGTCTGGCCTGTTACCTGTTAAAGGCCCGTTTTTTCGGCCTGAGCCTGGCCTATTTAAAAGGATGGCCTGGCCTGAAGCCTGTTTACTGGGCTGTTAAGAAAAAATAAAAAGTTCACCAAAAATAAAAATAAAAAGGGAAAAATCATTTTAACCCAGTATAAAATTTACCCCATCAAATATTCACTAAAAAATCTAATAATATGTTAGTTTTGCTTTGAATGTCTAATAATACGTTAGTTATGTAGTTTATAAATTTTAAAAACTTTGAATTTCAATGACCCTAATAACTTATTAACACACTTTATATATTTAAAATACGTTGTGGTATTCTACTTTATAATACACACTCCATACAAATATCATTATGCCTAATTTTATATAGTTAAGTATACTAATATAATTATAATTATATTTATAAATAATACAAATAAATATAAATAAAACTTAATATATATACAAATACACACACACATGTACAAATAGGCTGACCTGTTAAGCTAAAAAGGCTTCAGAGTTGGGCTAGACCTGGCCTATTTAAATAAGCGAGCTTGTGAAAAGCCCAATCCTAGTTTGATTATTAAACAGGCCAGGTCAAGCCTTAAACAGGCCAATTCACAGGCCCCTGACAGGCCGCCTAACCCATCCCCACCCCTCAGCACACGTGTTTCACCAGGTTCTAAATTAACCGTGAAGGCAAAAGCATTGCAAAGCAGCGGGGAAAAGTACGTGCGGCGAAGCAAAAATGCTGTTGTGTGAAGGAGGTGAAGATTGTTGAAGGGTACATGATGCTGAAGCTCGAATCTGATGTAAAAAAAAAGTGGTTGGGGCGAGCGTTGGGTGACAGGCTCGCCGGGAATCTTGAAGCTTCCTTGCGTGTTTTGGCACATTTATTTTTTCCAGTTCTCTTCTCATGTTTAGTTCATGTCGTTTTCTTGTTTCTGTTATGATTTTATTTTTCATAGCCTTGATACTAGGGTTTATTTTTCCATTGATTATTCTTATTGTTATAAGACTTTTGCATTAGGATTAGACGATGAAGGGTCTATTTTAACCGCGATAGGCTCATTTTGATCCATAACATGATCATATTGCTTAAAAGGTGATTGAATATACCGTCTCGTTCGAAGGGTGAGCGGTTGGAACTTGGAAGTGGTCCTATTTGAAGGGGCGGCCCTAGGGGGGCGCAAGTGGGGCGGGCGCCCTAGGGCCTAGGCCCAAAAAATACTGGTAAAAAATAGGCCCAAGTTTAGTTCTTTGTAACAGATGTGAGTAGGTTGATTTTTCGGTCCTAAAGTAACAATTTTTCAAGTGGAATTTGTTAAAGTTCTTCTGAATGGATTTTTTAGCGAAACTTATGATCATGTTTTCTATGAAGTTTAGAGTATGTGAGAAAAAATCAGTTTAAAGTTTAATTTGGAAGTCACCTAAATAAATTCTTGAAAACATTGTTTTTTTATACATATTTTGGCGCATTGTGTTTCAATAATTTATTTAACTGACTTCACGATTCCATTTTATGCTGAAATTTTATGGATATAATCTACACGTGATGAAAAACATTCTCTTAAAATTTCATAAAGAAATTCCGCTGGAAAGTAGATTCGTCTGATATGATGATTTGATTAGTTTATTAATCGATTCCATTCATGGTTGTTTGAATTCTTAATTGTTGATTGTTTTGTACTGAGTTTTGGTGTTATAACTTGTTGATTTTGTTATACAAACATTTTCAATTATGATAAAATTTATAAACTTAATTAAATTCAAAGTATAATAAAAAGGATTGAATCTGAATACGATAAATACAAAAGAATAGAAGATTAGAGAAAGCGGCGATAAGTAAAAAAAAGCTCAATGGAAAAATTGTTTGTGTAAAGAAGTCAAATTCTGAATGTCCTCAAGATGAGAACACATAGTCAAATTCTAAATGTCTTGAAATATGATTATTATATTTATTATGCATGTCATTTAAGATAAAAAAGAGTTCTACAAATTTTTTATAACATTAGGCTCATTTTAATTTTCCGCCCCCAGACCTTCCGACATAAGGCCGCCCCTGTCTATTTGATGTAGGGCTGGGACTTTGGAACCAAGAACCGGAGAACCGAACCGGACCGAACCGTTATGACCCGGTTCGGTTTGGTTCCAACATTTATTAGTTATTTGTTAACGGTTCGGTTCCTAATTTTTATTAACGGTTCGGTTCTCGGTTCCTGAAAAAAATGTGTACCAGGAACCGTTAAGGAACCGTTATATATAATAATTAAAATTAAATATATTTTTTATGAATATATATATTGTAATGTATATTTACTTATTTATTTTTATATTATATTCATTATTTTAGTTTAGTTATTTAACTATTTAAAACTATTATTCATTTCAACCGGTTCTCTTAGGCTTCTTAGGCCTCTCATTAGGTCCAAACTCCAGCTGGTCGGAACTCGGAAGGTCCAAAGTATTTAAAATTGTTATTCTCTTTAACTGGTTCAGCATATGTGTATTGTGATTTCAAACGTTGAATGTCTCTTTGGCAAAAATTTAGTCGTGATTTGTAAGAATTTTTTCAAAGACTATGAACCGTTAAATGACAAGAACCGAACCGTTAAGAACGGTTCGGTTCCTTATCGGTTCTATAAAATACTCCCTCCGTCCCAAAAACAACTTCTCATTCACTATTCATTGGTCAACTTGAATCACTCGTAATCTTTTACTTTTTATATCAAATTTTTATCAAATTTAAATTTTATTGATCAGGCTTTGTAGCGGTTTTAATGTAGTTTCTGAATATGTAAATTTTATTTACTAAAAATAATCCGAGTGTGAGCAGGGATCGAGTTGCTTTATCGTCAGTCAAGCATCGTAAACCGAACGGGAAGTTAATTTTGGGACGGAGGGAGTAATTTATAAGAACCGAACCGTTAGTACAATTTCATATTTTCAAACGGTTCCACATATTTTGCCTAGGGACCGAACCGGTCCCAGGCCTAATTTGATGTTTCACGTAGTTTAAAATGTCCCCTGCCCAACCACTCGAGGACCAAAATGCAATCTGGAAGTGGTCTATTTTCAGGCTGGGACCACTTCCACGCGGAAGGTCGGACGACGGGGCTGGGACACTTATTTCCCCAAAAAAATGATATCTAGATTTAATCCCCTGAAACGGTTGGCTAAAACACAATTACAAAATGCAGTGCAGGCTAACAGTCTGTTTCTCCTTGCTCGCAAAACCATATCCTCTTATATACACATACTAATAAGAATTCAAGAATGGAGGTTTCGGAATCTGCCCAGCCACTCAATAATGCTGATAAACTAATCGATTGCGTTGAGACCTTCATATTTGACTGTGATGGTAAGCGCAACAATTTTTTCATGACCCTGTATGTTTTTTTGTTCTATGCGCTTTTTAATGATAATCAGCTTATTTAACATAAAATCATTTCAAAATAAATTTTTTTTGCTTGTGATTATTTCGTACTTCTACTTATATTAGTCTACTGGTTGATCCTAGCACTCCTGACATACAATTTGATTTTATGTTTTAGTAAGTAACCTTAAATGGATAGCACAGTAAATTCTTGAATGCAGTTAGAATTGATATCAAGCTTGTTAGGCGGTAATTGGTAACATCCCTTGTGAAGCATGATAGGTGTTAAATCTGAGAGATTGTTAATAACTTAGATAAATTCCAAAGTTTCTGATTGCATGGACCAATGATATTACAGGTAATTGAGTATCATACCTAAGACAAATTTGTGCCGTTGAATGGAAAAGCAAAAAAATGATACCCATACCAAAATTAGTGTCCTATTTGGTGCTTCACGTAGTTTAAAAATGTTAAACTTAACACAAAGTAAGAGGCTTTTGGTACTGTTGCAATACTATATACTTGTACTTTATTAAAGTGTACTATAGCTGTTTTGGGGTACAAGTCTTTCCAAAAAAATAAATGAGACAATTAATTTGATACAACCCGAAAAGGAAATTGGGACAATTATTTTTTATATGGAGGGAGAAGCACTTTACATCGACACAAAAACAATCTTTGAAAAGATATAAAAAAATTAACATATAAAGAATTATGCTACTCCTCATATGCTATTCATGAGTCGTGAATCCTGATATGCTATTTGAACACATAAAGTCTAAAATAACAATTCAACCTTGGTATGCTGAAAAAATGAGCATACAAATTTCAATATTGGTATGCTCCAATGAACAGTTAATCCATGCAATTTTGGACGCGATTTTCATTATGGGTCATCCGGAAACAGTCTCTCTGTGCTATAGTACAGGGGTAAAACTGCGTACATCCGACCCCCTTACCCCACCGTAGGTGGGAGCCTTTGCGGCACTGGGGTAAATGATGATGATGTATGCTCCAATGAACAATTGTCTCATATGAGATTGATCTTTTAGATGGAGCCTAAGTCTTAATGAAATACTGGTTGTGGTTTTTCTCATTTGTGTTTTCTATTATAGGAGTTCTATGGAAGGGAGAAAAATTAATAGATGGAGTTCCCGAAACTCTTGATATGCTCAGGGCAAAGGTCAGCACTCTATGTACAAAGAAATCTATATCAGGTTTAGCATTAAGTTCACTATCACTTTGATGGAGACTGTAATTTTATTTCTTTAATGATATAGTTGTAGCCTTCTAAAATACTTTTTTTCTTTTTGACAATTCACATGCTTTTTTGGTTGCACTTCTTCAGGGAAAGAGGTTAGTTTTTGTTACCAACAATTCAACAAAATCTAGGAAACAATATGAAGAAAAGTTCGAGGCACTTGGCCTTCATGTCACCGAGGTCCGTCTGTCATTGACTTCTTTTATCTTATTTTATAAAGAATTAAAGACTCATTTGATAAACTAAGCAAACTCTTTTTCTGCATGACAGGAAGAGATATTTGCATCATCATTTTCTGCTGCTGCTTACTTAAAGTCTATTTATTTCCCCAAAGATAAGAAGGTAGGTCAGATAGGTATTTATATGTTGCTATCACATACAGAATAAGTAACCTCAGAGTTTTCACTAGTAAGAGCATCACATGATGGAATCTGAATCCCAGACTATGATGTATGTTTGGCCTTGTCAAAATGTTGTTTGGGTTTATATATAGTAGTAATACTACCTCTGTCCAAAAAAAGTAGTTAGGTTTCGCCAAGGTACAACTTATTATTTTTATTAATGTACATCTATTATAACTTATCAACTCTAGCTACATTTTTTAATTTACTTGTTGGTTTGACTATACTGAACCTGTTTGTGACACTTTTTGAGAAGACAAAATACATTTAGCTTGATGAAAAATAGCTTATTTTGTTCAAATAACTCTTTTTGGTGGCAAAAATATGTTTTCAAACAAGACTCCTTTTTTGGGATGGTGGAGTAGTACCCTTTTTCATTTAATATTTTCTTTGCTTAAGTTAAGGTCTAATTCGTTTTCCTGTTCTGGTTTTCTTCTTTCCTAGCAGTGCATTATTGGTCCAAAAATGGCTGATTGGCTGACTTGAACTGACATTCATTTTTTATAGGTTTACGTAATTGGTGAGGAAGGAATACTGAAAGAGATCGAGTTAGCTGGGTTCCAGTGTCTTGGCGGGCCGGTAAGCCAAAATATCAGCAAATGTCATGTGATTTCACAATTATCTTTTATACACACAGTCTCACACACACACACTCATCATATGGTCCTTTATCGCTACCTTGTCAGTTTTCAACACTTATGGCATTTGGGATTTTGCATATCATTCCATGCAGGCTGATGGTGGGAAAAAGATAGAACTAAAGCCTGGATTTGTAATGGAGCATGATGAGAATGTATGGTTTTTTTCACTAGGTGTAATTGTGCATCATTTTGAAATATTCCATGACTGGGCATGTAATAAAAAGTCCACCCTATCAATGTTATGTAGTAGTACCTCTGTCCCTTAATTAAGTTTCACGCTTTGACTTGCATGGTTTCGAACATATCAAATATGTCACCATTTGGCTTCCAAGTTTGCCCTTGTGGTATGTAGTTGGGAGTCATTAATGGGTTGCAGGTTGGGGATTTTAAAGGAGGGTGTGAGGTAATGTGTTTTTAGCAAATATGAAAAGAAAGGGATTAACGAAATAAGAAAGGATGAACGTTATTTAGGGACAGGGGCCATTAGTAAGGTGCACTAAAAGTTCTGTCAATGTCCATTCAGGTTGGGGCCGTTGTTGTTGGATTTGATCGTAATTTCAATTACTACAAAGTCCAGTAAGTTTCCATGTATTTAATCCTTTACATAGCAGAAAACCTGTTAAAGTTTTGTTTTAATGATTGTTTTAGAAGTGATGCCAACCCCTACTTGTGTTGATTATGTCCACCATTTTTGTGCTAAATGCTTAGGCGTCTTCTTGTTAAAGAGTGAAAGTAACATTCCTAAATTCTCAAAATTGTTCAAATTTGAGTGACTACGCAGAGGCTATCTGTGTGGGGGAATGATTGATGGTTTTAGAGTAGATAGGCTTCATATTTATGCATTTATGCTCTTCCTTGGTTTTTTATTGGCCTCTAACGTTTTCTCTTTCCTTTCTTTCTTCTCCTGTTGCATATCAAACCCTTGGTTACGGTTATCAAAGGTATGGAACTTTGTGTATACGTGAAAATCCAGGGTGTCTATTCATTGCAACGAACCGCGATGTTGTCACTCATCTAACAGATGCTCAAGAATGGGCAGGTTTTTATTTTTTTTATATTGCCTCTTGTACAATACCTTTCTGATTACAAACATCATGCATTAAATGCTCTGGGACAAACATGTTAAGATGGAAAATCGCACTTCTAATCACCGTATCCTTTGACATTATGTAATATTGGATCAATTGTTCTCATTTTATAAATTTAGTCCCTAAATTGTTATACTACAACAACAACATTCAAGTCTTAGTCCCGAAAGATTTTGGGGTAGGCTAACATGAAACGATACATGATGTCGGAGCCAAAAAGAAAAGAAAGATAAAAAATAAAAAACAATAAGGTAAGATAAAATAAAGATAAATATAAATCTAAGTTAAAGATAAATTTAAGATAGATATAAAAAAATAAGATAAAGAGGTTAAAAGGATAAGAGAAAAAAGATCAATCCAAAGCCATACTCTCATCCAACCCAAAAAGAAGCGTATCACTCATGATTCCTCTAATGCATGCCTCTTTGGGTCTTCCTATCCCACTCCCTTTCATCCCGATCTCGTCTCCCCACCTCTTCTCTCCACCTGTCCACTCGTTTAAATGGTGCATCACTCGATCTTCTGCGTGCATGATCAAACCATCACAATTGACTCCTGCATCTTATCTTTTATAGGTGTTACTCCCATTTTTTGTCTAATTATCTTATTCCTCAAGTGGTCTTTTATGGTATGTCCACACATCCAACGCAAGATGTGCATCTCATCTTTTGAATCTGACATTGTTTCACCGCCCATCTACTCCATATAGTAATGCAGGTCTAATTGTTGTTTAATAAAATTTACCTAGAAATCCTCGATCACATAGGAATCGTGATGTGTTCTTCCATTTCATCCATTTGTTCGGATTCTATGGGAAACAACTCCATCTAATTCAACGTCCTTCTGAATTATGGAGCCCAAGCAACAGAGCATATCGCAGACTTGTATTTCTTTGTCATCAAGGGTAATCCCACTGTTATCACTATTTCTACCTAACAAATGTTCAGCCTTGCTTCGACTTAGTCTAAAACCCTTGGTCTCCAATGTTTGTCGTCATACTTCCAACTTCCTTAATTAACACAATATCGTCGGCAAACATCATGCACCACAGTATATCTTCTTGACTTGACTTTGAAAGTTCATCCATGACTTATTGCAAATAAGAAAGAACTCAGAGCCGATCCTTGGTACACTTCGATAGTAATAAAGAACTTTGTGGCCCTCCTTACACTAGTACGGACAATCGAACACTTATAGTTCAAGCCTCATACATATACATGATGACACCGATATACTTACGTGGTATGCCTTTTCTAGTTTAGTGAGTCATTTTGCTTTATTCCATCATATTTTCAAGCCAAAAAATAATGAATCTTTGGCTCCATTGCAAATGATGGAATTCATTCTAATACCTTAAAATTAAAAGAATTCAGATGAACTCTAATCTGAACTGCTAGTATGCTATTCTTAATTGATTACATATGGGTATGTTTGAGATTACCTAGTGTCGAACAATTGGGAACTTAAAGTGTACCTTTCCACTTAGTAAGTGACCTCTAAATTTGCACCCTAGTGCGTTAAAATTAAAAGAATTCAGATGCACTCTAATCTAAACTGCTAGTATGCTATTCTTAAGTGATGACATATAGGGAGCACACATGATAATGTGTACATGGGGTTCTTTAGAAGGGAGGATGTCATACATCTTTATCACTCCTTTATAGCTGCCGCCGACTTACATAAATAATGAAATAAGGTCTCTCTATCTGTAAGCGGCTGTTCTGTAGATTTGTAGTTACCAACAAGTATGAATACCTTTGCTTATTCCAGGCGGCGGTTCAATGGTTGGTGCCCTAGTTGGATCTACACAATGTGAACCACTTGTTGTAGGGAAGCCTTCAACTTTCATGATGGACTACTTATCAAACAAGTAAGTTCCACATTACACTGTACTCCGTGTTATCTTAAATTATCCAGAAAAATGGGTCTTTGCACCCCATGGTATACCCAAATATTTGACTTCAGATCAATGTTTTATTTTATTTCAACATGCACCCTAAAATGCCCCAGAGTGGGCCCAAAATATAATTGAAATGGCTTGCTTTAGGTTTATGTGTTACCATGCAGTGTAAAATCAAATGTTGGGATAAAACAGAAAAATATGATGTGAAGACCAATATTATCCCAAATCTACTCTATTCATTCGTCTTTGGCCATGATACCTATTACATAGGTTCAAGATTGAGAAATCCCATATATGCGTGGTGGGGGACAGACTTGATACTGATATACTTTTCGGAAAAAACGGTGGTTGCAAAACTCTTCTTGTTCTCTCAGGTCATAATTTAATACTCCGTATGTTTTCGGGGGAAATTGCACTGTTTGTAAGGCCATCTCTTTCGTTCATTTTTTTGCATATCTAGTTCTTTACTTGTGTAACATGTTTTATACTATCATGGATACTGTAACAAACTCCAATTAAGACTGAACTTGTTTAAGCCTAGAAAGAAACAGAGTTTGCTATAGACTTCAGCAATGACTAATTTACTACATCCACACGTTCTACAGACTACAATTAAGGGATGACATTTACAAAAATTAAAAGATATTCTTTTGAGTTATTATTATTTCAACTAAACAGTACAACCTCATTGCTTACCAGTATCTTTAACTGTTTAATTGAGTTGTGTTTCAGGTGTGACAAGTTTATCAATGCTGCAAGATCCCAAAAACGCAATACAACCGGACTTTTACACGAATAGTGTTTCTGATCTATTTTCTGTGTAATCTGCGGTGGTGGCTGTCGGTATTGTACGTTGGAGGTAGATTCGGAGGTTATATACTTCGTATATTGGAAGCTGTGAACAAATATCAAATTCTTTGACACCGCGGGTACATTAAAGCAACTCCACATGGGTTGCTTAACATTATTGGTAATAACCAATGCGGAGTAATTAGACCAACCAACGACGTTCATTGTGCGGTAAAAAAAGAAAAATTTCACTTTATTATACTCACAGTCAGTACTTTTTATTTTTGTTATCTCCTAGTCATATGTTATAGTAAGGTCTCATATGGTTTGCAAATATTTGCTCCTCCATTTTTTCCTCTTCATTTCTCATCCATTTCTTTTTTCTTCCTATCTATTTCTACCTTTTTCTCTATCTTACTCACCAACATACCCCACCATAATTTCCCTCCTCTCTATCTCTCTCCAACTGGAAGCACCAGTTACTGGAGAGGATCTGTGCTCGTACCATGGGGTGCAAAGTCCAAAGACCACTATGCGCCAAATGGTTTGCCTCATGATTGAATAAGGTACAATTGTTCATACTTCATAATGATCAACAAAAGTTTACTTATTTAAAGATTTCATATAGAAAAAGGGCAAGTGACTGGTTAAATCGTTTCCATTTGAAATGATTTTTTAATCGAGCTCGGCTATCTACATTCATAAACGTGTTTACTTTCTACGACAGTCCAATCTGAGTGGAAGATTTATTGAAAATTAATGGATGGTAAATTAATTGTTGTTTCCATATCTTGAAATCTGTATACTCCGTATAAAATAAACACTAACTAGTACTTGAATCTGTTTGCAATGCAATCGTCTCTCAGGATATAATGAGTTTCGTTCCGAACGACTCCAGTGACAAACGATGAACAACCGGATGAAGGTGTGGATGGAAATGACAGTTTAAACATTCAACAATTTCTAGTGCCGCTTGGGGACTAATCCAATATCAATAGTTGGCTTAGTCATGGACCCGGGTCGGGCCCGGGCCAGGCCTAGGCCCAGTCGGGCCTCAGTTTTTTTGAAGGAGGGCCGAGACCGGCCCGTGCTATGGCCGGTGCCGGTTCGGGCTGGGTCACCCGTCCGGGTCACGGGTTGTGTCAACCGCCGGGCCGAGCTGGGTCAGTTTAATTTTTTTTATACTTTATAGTTTATACAAATGCTTATTAAAAACAAAGTTAATTGTGAAGCTATTTTTGAAGTTAATTGTAAGCTATTTTATTTAGAGAAAATTGGGTATATATACATGTTTAAATATGTACTTTTAAATTAATGTTAGGTATTATTAAAAATAAAATGAATAGCCCTTCTATGACTTAGTTTCAATATTAAACACCTACTATCACGTTGAAATTTAGATTTTATTTCAACAACACTCATCCGCATCTTTTATTTACGAGTTCACTATATAGAAAAGTGCTATTTGTTTTATAAAATATAAATGGTTGCTATTAACTTTATGTATGCTAATTTAAAAGGCTATATCACTATTTCTCCCTTTTATTTAAACAAATTACATATTGTAAAACTATTTTTAATTTAAAAACGGCCTTTAGAAAATTAATTGTAAGTTGTAAGTTTGTAACCAATTAATTAATTTGAGAAGTGCTACATATGAAAAATTGAACGCATATTTATTTGAAATATGAAGTACAAGTTTACAAATTACAATTGAGAATTGAGGTAAAGATTAAAACATGAAATACATTTTATAATAAATTGTAAAATACTAATCAATCGGAATCTCCGTCATAGGTAGAGCCACCATCGATTGTTG